AACAAAAATAATATATATATATATATATATATATATATATTCTCTATATCTAAATTTGAATGTATGAATTTTTTTTTGAAATCTTATCAAATGTAAAAGTTCCACGAAAATTCTACAAAATCTCACATAATCCATTAAAATCCTGATTTAAAAGTCTTGTAGAATCCTGCAAAATCTTTTAAAATTCGCAAGATTTTTTTTAACTAAAAAAGTCCTTTAAAATCCTAATCCAATACACCCCCCCTGAGTGTCATTTGCATCATCCGAACGTAGCGCTCGTGATTTTAGGAAACAAACATGGAGTAGGTGACAAGTCACCGTGGATTCCAGTTGACGACAGCCAAAGAGAAAGAGAAAAGGTAAACGGGCCACAATATTAATTGTTGTCCACTACAATTACATAATCGAAATTCAAACAATAATCCTAGATTCCTAGTGTTGAACCAAAGTCCAAAGAAGAAAACACAGTGTACTGTGTACCTAGAAACTTTCCTCTTTTATTTTATTTTTTTACTCATTTTACTATTTTCTCCGAACTCAATCAAATATTAAAAATTTCTTTTTAGTAGACAGTTAAGACTTTGAGGTTAAGAGCTTCCATTACAGTCTGATTAGATGAGAAAAATAAAGGAAAAAGATATAGAATAGAAAAAAATAATAATAAAAATATAAAATGAAGAGGATGTATTATTTAAATGAATAAAAATAAAATAAAAATACTTAAAAAAAACATTTCTATGCTTATTTAAATAAATAAAATATAATGAATGTACACTAAAAAGAAATAACCTACGTCCTACCTGCCTCACTTTCCTCTCCCACTCAAAACATAACACGGCAGTGTGCATGCACCACAACCACGTGATTTTGTCCTTCTCAGAAAGAATAAAATGATACAATTCCTAACATTTTTCAAACATTAAAATACATTCTTTTTAAATAAATAAAAACTATACTTGTTTAGATGAATAAAAAAAAGTAAAAAAAAAATCTATAAATTATATTAGAGAAGCTTTTTAAAATAATAAGTTAAAATTTTCGGTATAATTTTTAAAAAAACAAAAACTACTTTTAATTATTTTATATAATATAAAATATGATTCAACATTAAAAATTATTAAAACAAGGGGAGGGGGGGGGGGGGGG